TGACTCTTAATTACACCCTCAGTTCAACTTATGTTCATGGTAATGTAAATGATGCATGTGGATCGAATAGTGCAGCAAGTTTTTAACCTTGTTTCTGAAATCTGAAGTGGCGCCTTATCCGCTAAGAATTCATTCCAATTTCATAGTTCAAGGAAGTCAGATAAATTTAAAGATAACACTAGTAGTTTCGTGTCGCTTCTTTGGAGTTGTAGCTTGGGAAGGAAATTCGGCTAAGCACGCCACCGCTTTAGCTTACTTCAGCACCTGGGATGCATAGGCCTACAGCAAAACCACTTTGTTGTGTCGATGCCAATGGCACGCCAAAATCTCATTAGATGCTGACGCGGTCCGTCGTCGGCACTGAAAGAGGCTGTTAGTAGAACATAGTATAGCTTAATGTCATAACGAAACATTGGGTACTTCTGAGCATTACGGCAGTGACTAAAAGAATCCTCATTTCGTTACCGCATGTCCACAAAAAATGGGGAATTCAGTGAAGATGGTAGGTGGCGCTAAAATGTAGGATTCAACGTAGATATGTTCTGAAATCAAACAGATAGGATAACAATAACAACGACATGATTTGCAGCTATGTGAGTGTCAATAAGCATTTACGTGTCATTTATGGAGCATTACGCAGACTTTCACCACATTAGCAGCAAAATTGACCATCCTCGTTTCTTGATATTGTTTATCGAGCGTCACTGAAACTCGTTCTGCCAGGTTCTCTCGATGACGGTTTAATAAAGAGTCCCAAAATGCGTTGAGAATGTGGTTAAGGTTTGTACTTTCCTTGCATTTTCCCATTTACATTTGATCTGTGCCGTCGTATGAACCATATTTGCTGCCTGTTTGCCATGAACTGACATGTGCACTGAACGATGTTTTGCTTTGCTCAGAGTAAAGGCCGCAACAACGAGATGCTTGCTGCCGCCTGCGCGGTTGGGGTGGCCAGCACTTACGGGGCACCGGTCGGAGGTGAGACCTCACTGTGCTATCTCAATCAGTGAGTCAGGTATCACTCACGTTAGTAACGTTTAGGCGTCCTGTTCAGCATCGAG